GTTCGCTTCGCTCACTCGTGAGATATTGTTCTTGCCACGAGAACATAAAATTCATATCTTCTCGCCACCGTGTAATATCCTCTATATATTAATGTGAGAGCGTCGAACGCACTCTCATAATCTCTGATTACTACTAGTCGAATATCATAATTTTGGGATGATAAGTAAGTTTTCTCTGAGCTGGTCTAAAGATAACAATTTTTTTTTCATATTTATGGTTAATTTATTAGCTGTTAGCCAATCGAACAACTTGCAGAGTTATTGATCTACAGTCGACTCAAGGGACTTAAGATTTTTGTCGGCATATACGGCATTCGTGTCGTCAGCAAATAAAAAAAGTTCGAGCTTGTCAGAGGATTCTTGGATATCGTTGACATAGATTAGGAGAAGTAATAGGCCTAGGACTGAGCCTTTCGGTACACCACAAGTGGTATTGAATTTTTCCGTTCAGATATATCAGAGAGCCAATTTGCGTAGTTTGAGTTCGACCATCCAAGTAAGATGAGAACCACTTATTTATAACACCACGAAAACCATAGTGATCTAACTTGTGCAAAAGAATTTTATGATCGACTGTATCAAAAGAATTTTTCATGTCAATAAATACACCACAAGAGAACAAGCGCTTGTCCATGTTTTCCTTTATTGTACTAACAGTGTCAAGAATTGCATACTAAGTTGAAAGCGCTTTGCGGAAACCGTACTGAGATGGAGAAAGTATATTATTTTGCTCAATGAAAGATTCCAATCTGGAGTAGGCCAATTTTTCGAAGATCCTATTAAAGTTAGACAGCAAAGAAATACGCCTATAATTGTTTGCATTATTGTTATCTTCAGCTTTAAAAATAGGAAAAATTTTTGCATTTTTAGTTACAAATACTCAGGGTGGCCGACTCTATAAGCTATACTGAACTTCTGGAAGTGTTTGGGACGTCCCAACGCAGTTCGCTTGATGAAGCGGACTAAAACTGAAGTCATCATCAACAATATTCCTGAATGGCTGGCAGCATAGAACCGCCACGAGACACCGGCATTTATTAGTTCGGAGGTTTACCCAATCAGACGGCGGTAAATAACGATCCTGGGCGTTAAAGGGCAGACATGGCGTTTTGTCTCATGATTCACATCACGTGCTTTCCTGGTGCCATTTGCGAAATAAGTCTGTAAGTATTGTATTGCACTGGAACTTATCCAGCCAGCAAGGTTAGCTGAGTTTATCCATGACAAACAATTATTTTTATCAAGTCAATATCTAGTGTTTCAGGCTTTTTCAAGACGACGGGAAGCGTTTGCCAAGAAAGACTGAGTTATAATCACCCGGCAATATTCGAACCTTGTTCCCAGGATCCCTCCTCTTCCGGGAGGTAGGAAAAAGAGAGATCCTGGAAAAATGATTGGTAACTCTCCTCAAATGCTGACGAGCGTCAAAAGTGTCAACATGCATGGGCTGCTGAGGCCGATGAGAAAGAAAATCAAGAACTAAAGCCTTAAATTCACTTCTTAATTTTACAAGATTTTTGTCGCAAACTGGATCTCAGTCGGAAAAGGACTCAGAGATAAATGACTAAGCCTTCCTGCAGGTGACCCACAGAAAATATTCAATGAAAAATCTATGAATTATTTCATCATAACTTAATAATACATTAGCAAAAAATATGAAACAATCATTTCAAGAGTAAGCTGCTTGCATTGAAGATCACATTCATGCCATGAAAAGAGTTTTATCAATGAATTACCTGTTGTACTCGGTCCGTCACTCGGTTCTGCAAGGTGATAAGATCCATTGATCAGTCGCTTGATAATCTCGTTCTTGCAGAGTAGTGCAAACTTGTAAAGGTAAAGATTTCCTTTTTCATCCATGTCCAACACACACATTTTGTTCCTCTTCTGTTCCAAACCCCTGATGATTTAAAAAGACAGTACAGCATAATGTACTATTAGTTCCTTTTTCGGCTTCAAGCGATTTGGAGATTATATACGACTGAATGAAACATGCCCTGCTCAGTGAAAAACTGAATTATATAGAACAATAAAATTCCTTTAAAAAAGTAGGACTTGGAAAGTCAGCTACTTCATACTACTGCTACGACTGATGTTACGATTCTAAAAGTGGCCGCTGTAAAATAAAATATGATATTAAGTATTTTTAAAACGTTTTACCTTCGGAAAGTGACGGACGCGCTAGAGAATTAAAGGCTCAAGGTTAAAAATGACAAATGCACGGCTTCAGGAATACCAGTTGGACATTTTTAAGCATAGCCCAAGAATTGAATTTGGGTCTACCGCGAAAGGAGTCTTGCTCTAATGCAATTGCAACCCACTGTCGATGTCGAAGTTTTCGAGTAACGCGGTTAGAAGGAAAAGTTTTTACAAAAAAGCAATTCCAGTTGTAAACGAATTAGATAATTATAGAGCCATCTTATTTGTCTTACCTCGGTGTTAAAGCACTGATGGAGAGTAAAACCAAAGCGAAGCTCACGTGGAAGAACATCAGTTTTGGAGGTACGTTGAAACAGTAAAACTTGAAGAAGTTCGGTTGATTGGCTCGGCACGAAAAGTCTCTGCTCAGTACAGCTGAAAAACTAAAAAAGGAAGGAATAATGCAATTTAAGGAAAAAACTAAAACTTATAACACAGAAGCCGGAGCTTGTTAAATACTTACTGCTCCTTTTTCAAAACGGATTGTGCCTCTTGTTGAAAAGCTGCTTAATCTTATGTGTTTGAAGGTTTGTTTAGTACTGGTCGATTCTGGATTTATCTAATGGTATATCAATACTTCATTAATTAGTGTTAATGGGCATGGCACGTTTTGTTTTCTTAGCAAAGCACAATTGATTAAAGTTGCTTTTAAGTTTGATTCGGCCTGAATCAACAAAACTGACACCGCAGAATTCAGATCAAATAACTAGTGACGTTATAATTATATTCTTTGAAAGAAGTAACCCTGGAAGAGGTTTTTTCGTAAACACAAAATTTTTTAACAAATAACTATTTTTTGTAGAATTTCGGAAAACATGAATGTTTGTTGAAGATCGATTTAGAGCAAAACAAAAATCTTTGTCCCTTGTAAAAAACTGAGCTGTGATAATTTGGGCAATAAATAAAATAAGCTTTCAGAACTTCTTTATTTGTCAACTGTGAGAACAAGACGCCTGTGCAAGTGTATATATCTTGATAAACTCTCTATAAATGCTTTTAACGATGAGTTTAAGTGTTTGTAAATATAGCTTTCTCTAAATATAACTTTCTATAACTCTCTGCCCCGAAAATAAAAGAGATCTTAGAGGAAGTTTTATTCAGGTTGGACGTTTTTTTTTTCTTGAGAGAAAATTGCTATTTATATCTTTTCAATTTGTTAGACTATGGTCAAACTTAAAGATATCTCTGTTATCAAAACAAATTAGCAATATATTGATATTTGTTGAAAGGGAATGTCATGTTTCATCTTCGCAGATGCTGTGCATGAATTCAGCTGCTGAATGCGAATCACCTTGTCTGCAAAAAATGAATTTCGTTATTCAGAATTGAAAAAGTACAAATGGTTTCCCCCGGCTCTTTAATACTATAATCCCAGTAAATTTCAGTTAGGCGCGAGTTTCAATTAGCTTTGTTTGCATCGCGTGTTATTCTTGTAGGAACCAACTGAGGAAGGCTTTTTGTTGGTAACACTGATTATAGAAAGTGTAGATCATCAATTAATTATTTGTTTGAGTATTCTGGATGACAAGTACGATGGCTTTTCGTATCAGCACAAATAGACAAACTCAAAGTGGCCCTTTGTGTTTTGTTTGCTATTATCTTTGTTGAATTTGTTAGAAGCGAAGAGGTGCTCAAGCAGTTTAAGGCCTGCGTCAGGAGTAAATACTCTTTTTCTTTGGCCATCGTAGCTTAAGGTGGCTGAACACAGTTTTTGATACCTGTGTTTCATTCACCTTTTCTCTAAAACCCTTGATCTCTCGGTCGTCAAAAATGGCCACAAG